TAAAGGCTGATCCTAAAATATTGAATAATTTATTTTCTCCTGGTGGTTTTAGACTTAATTCTGCTCTATTAATTTTTCTAAATTTTTCCCAATCAAATTTTCCTTTTAAGGCATATCCCTCTACTCCTTCGTATACTTCAGTTTCTATATTTTCTGAATTTTCTATTTCCATGATCTTTAGGTATCTAATTCTTCAATTCTCATAATTTCATTATTAAGAACTCTTTGTATTCTTTTTAAAGTTTTCATTTCTATAAGAATAGGCATTTTAACAAGATATCCTATGTCTTCGTCTAAAACTTCATCAAAATCTATTAAAAGAAAAGTAATTTTCTTTTCAAATTTTTTCTTTATTTTAAGACTATCGGAGTCTTTTATTTTATCAATCAAATTTCTTGATTTATTAACAAGATGTTGAATATAACTATCAGTATCTAAATATTCAGTAGAATTGTTAACGTACCATCCTATGCAAATTTCGTTATTATCTTCCATTCTCTAATGTCTTTAATTCCTCAAGATATAGTGCTCTGATACCATTAAATATTGAGTTTCCTAAAATGCAAAAATTCAAAAATAAAATTATTAATCAATATCAAAAATTTCAGCTCAAGATAGGTAGAAAAAGTTGATGGTGAAGAAAAGTTAATTTTTTATTGCAAGGGGCAAACAATTTGTCGAATCCAAAATTAGAATTAAAGTTTGAAGGACTAAAATGACTTGTTTTGAAACCTTTTATGTTAAGAGTATTTTAGGTAGTTTTAAGGTTGAATAGTAAAAATGGGTATTTTGGAAAGGGTATGGTTGAATTTAGGGTATTTTCAATAATTTCCCGCTCAGAAATCAGATTGAAACAAAAGCCAGTAACGTTCTTTACCCGATTACAACACTCAGTTTTTCGTGCACTTGTACAACCCCAATTAGAAACTTAATCGAGTAAAATACAGAGCCAAAATAAACTTAGTTGCTCAATGACATTACATGTGCTCCAAAATTTCCTAGATGAACCACATAATTGTTCAATTACACTGCAAGGCCTTGGGCAGGAGCAGCAGCTGGAGTTTTAGGTTTTGCCTTCTCCACAACAATGGCTTGTGTGGTAAGAACCATTCCAGCAACTGAAGCTGCATTCTGCAATGCACATCTTGTCACCTTTGCAGGATCTATAACTCCTGCTTCGACTAGGTTCTCATACTTGTCAATCATTGCATTGTAACCAATCTCCCACTCGCTATCCTTCACTTTCTCTACCACTACCTCACCTTCAATCCCGGCATTCTGAGCAATCAAAGATGCGGGTGCCACGAGTGCCTGCAAGAAAATCAAGTAATTGAATGAACATCAAGCTTTCTGAAAACAAAATCACGTTCACAGCAATATATATCGTATATGGTAAACTTAGTATGAATGATAACAACATCATAACGAAGTCAAAAACTTTCAGGAATCAATAGTCGAGCAATTTCACAGATCTATATCACTTAAATCTTTGCAAGGTCAAAATCAATTCAAACTTCTCTGGAGTTAACTCGTAGATATCCAAGTTCTCAAGTATATTTTCATATACGATATCTCACTACTATTCACATGATCTCAAGCCCACAAAAGATTTGCATGTTACTGGAACATCTAAATTGTTTAGTTATCAAGTCCTTAGTAATTTTAGATTTCACACTATTATTGCCACTCATTTCCATGCCATAAAACATATTCACTCTATTCAGAATATAATTTTTGGAAGCCTAAAAAAAAAAAGAATCAGTGATTCTCAATGCAAGGAACCAGCATTCCTCAAGTCTCAAGCTATTTTGAATCCCAAATTACAAAGTTCAGATTCAGGTGTATAAATTACAGCGTAAAAGTAGAATCAAAAGTAAAATTAAACATCCAACACAGTAGCAGGCACTTGTATTGACAAGTTAATAACCCCCCAGGTTTTTGTATTATAGTTAAACCAGCATTTCAGAATAAAAACTGAAACTGAAACAATACGTGTAATTTTCAGAAATATGCATGATGTACCTTCTGTATGATATCAGCACCTAGCCGCTCATCTGCATCTTCAAGTTTGTCCTTAATGGCAGGAACATAAGCCGACAAATGAACTAAAGCAGCACCACCTCCAGGCACAATGCCTTCCTCAATAGCAGCAAATGTAGCATTCTTGGCATCCTCGATACGAAGTTTACGGTCCTCAAGTTCTGTCTCTGTTGCAGCACCAACTTTAATAACTGCAACTCCACCGGATAATTTGGCAATTCTCTCAGCCAGTTTCTCAGAGTCGTAAACCGAATCAGTTTCAGCTAGCTCCTTTTTCAGTTGGGCAATCCGAGACTGTATTTCATCTTTTGATGCGGCATCAGCAATGATGGTTGTGGAATCCTTCGTGATGGTTATCTTTCTTGCAATACCCAATTGATCAATATCAGTGTTTTCAACAAGCAGACCTAGTTCACTAGCTTGAAACTCGGCCCCTGAAAGATAGCAAGTATATTAACAAGCAGAATATATTGCTATTTGACACATCACACTGCTCGAAGAAGGCATAAAATGATAAATGCCAACACATAGAAACGTGCCCATGCCGAAATCTTTCTCTTTGCTCCCTATCGTAATAACTAGTCAAAGTTGAACGTGCGTTGCACGCTATTCTAAAATATTTTATAAGTACTGTAAAAGTAATATTTGATACCAATTTGTTAGGAGGATTTGATGAGTCTCAAACGAATTAAAGTAAATTTTAAGATAAAAATTTAAGAGAAGAAAATTGTAATCTCAAGACTCAACTTCTTTGATTTAAATTTTTAAAAATGGTGAAATACTACAAATAAGCAACATTTTTACACTATATTTGATACATAAGAATTAATTGCTAATACATGAATTTAAACCTCCATTAAAACTCCTAGATACATGAATATTAATAAGAGCCCGTTTGATTCTCATTATTGTAGAATGAGAATGAAAAACATAGCCGTTATTGAGCCCCACACAAGAGATAGAAATTCAAAATTAATGGCTTGATGTGATGGATAACGGTCATATTTTTCATTTTTATGGATGAAAAATGAGAAACAAACGGGAGCTAAATGCATTTATAATAACTCTAAATTCATGTAAATCAAGATTCATCTAGTTAAGATTAATTGAGTTTAGAATAATGTGAACGTTAATTAATTAAGAATTAATAAGACGAAATTCACACATGACAAGAATTTTGTAGAATTTATTACACGTTGAAAAACGAAAAAAAAAAAGATATTATTGAAATAATTGAATTGTAATACGGTAAAAAAAACAAAATTCTCAAATATTTAATATATTATAGATTAAGAGAAATTCGCAATTACCCAAAGTTTCACAAGCAACACACATGGGTTCCCAACCAACTATTTTGATCCATTAGGGATCTAAACTTTCATTTTTTGTTGAACATTGATCCTCGTTGGATGGAACTGCCAATTTTTCCGTAAAGCAGTCACACGCATTGCATGCGATAACTTTTTTGATGTTATCATCACCAACGCACTCCAATTCCCTAAAAAAAAGTTTAGCAAACAAAAATGGAATGCTAACCTTTAGGCCTCTGAGTCTTTTCCTTTCTCCCTTTCCAAGTGTTTTTGAGGAAAATGGAGTGGGTTGGACTAATATAATTCTCACATAAGCCATCACGTGCAAGCACGTGATTGTATGACAGAAATTGACAGCTCCCATCCAATGGGAACCAACGTGCAATTGCACAGAAAGAATTGAAGTTTGGTAACATCAAGTTAAAAAGGGTAATTGATTGCAGACCCATGTGCTATATTTGTGAAAGCTTGAGGACCACAGCAGCAAATTTCCCTAAATTATTTAGATAGATGGAAGGCAAATTCATGAAGTGGCAATCTCTCAGAATGTATAGCATGCGAGAAACCAGTGAAGAATGAAAATACCAGTCAAAATGGCAATATCTTGAAGAACAGCCTTTCTTCTTTCTCCAAAACTGGGTGCTTTGATGGCAGCAACATTCAGGATTCCTCGCAGCTTGTTTACAACAAGAGTCGCCAATGCCTCTCCAGTGACATCTTCAGCAATAATGAGTAGAGGTGCACGTAACTGAGTGGTTTTCTCAAGCAATGGAATGATGTCCTTGATTGCTGAAATTTTCTGGTCAGTTACTAACACCCTTGCATTTTCAAATTCTACTATCAATTTTTCGGGGTTGGTAACAAATTGTGGAGAGATATATCCTCTATCAATCTGCAAGTCAAGAGTGCTACATGAGCACAGGGGGAAAATGCAATCCCCAAAACCAACCATGCCAAAATGGTGGAAGAGGGCCGAAGTGAATTGGCCAGAGTATTAGAAAAAAGGGAAGATAAGAAAAACGACTTTAAAAGCAGACTGACCTCCATTCCTTCTTCTACATCAACAGTAGTTTCAAAGGAAGATGATGACTCAATTGATAGGACACCATCAGGTCCAACCTTGTCGACTGCATCAGCAATCATTGTTCCAATGATCTCATCATTTCCAGCAGAGATAGTAGCAATGGCTACAATATGATGAAGAAAATCAGTACAACAAATTACTAGACGATGTTCAATAATAAATTGGAAAATCATATAAATCGGAACCTGATCAAAACATTACCTTTGATATCATCACGGCCCTTGATGGGCCTAGCTTTCTTTTCAAGCTCTTCAACTAAATCTTGCACGGTTTTATCAATACCCTTCTTAACAGAAACAGGATTTGCACCTGATGTAACACTCAATAGACCAAGTTTAATGATTTCACGGGCCAGAACTGATGCAGTTGTAGTACCATCACCGGCAGAATCATTGGTCTTGCTAGCAACCTTCACATGCAACTCGATATATCATACTAAAAATCAACCAGAAAGTACATATACAGACATGTACAATTCAACACAACAGCAAAACAATTTAAGGGAGTGGGAGTGGACCAGAGAAAATATTAAGAACTGACCTCCCTAATCAAAGCAGCACCAGCATTTTCCATGGCATCAGGCAGCTCTATTGCCCGAGCAATTGTCACTCCATCATTAACCACCTTTGGGGCACCAAACTCATCCAAGACAACATTTCTTCCTGCAAATTGTACAAACTTGATGAGGATATTGTCCTGGACCAAGGTGGAGTAATGGTAACGTAATACTGGTGAGGGTGTTCCACCGACGACCAAGAGCTCGTGTAAACTTTTTTACATTATCTTTGTATGCAACAAGAAAGAAACTAAAACCACTTAACACTGCAAGATGTTACTAGCCTATTCGTAAAACGCTTGACAATTATCAAATTTTATCACAACCTTTTCACGTAGTTCTCAGAGTAACTGAAATGTATATCCCTAAATATTATCATACCGAAAAAGGAAATAGAAGTTAATAATAGTCTAAAGATAGAGTGAAGGATGCAGAAAATATGAGCTTATATTGAAAAATATAACTACTAGCGGTAAGAATCAGCCATAATTCAGCAATTACCCCGGGGACCGAGAGTGAGACCAACAGCATCGGCGAGCTTATCGATTCCGGCCTGAAGGGCGGACCTTGATTTCTGGTCAAATGCAATTTCCTTAGCTGCAGCCCTCACCACAAACCGGTTCTTAGCTTGCTTGGAATTGAACTTGTGCCCCTGCTGCAATTGGTTCGCTCTTCTATTCTTCAATCCCCCCTGCACCAACAAAATCCAGAAATCAAACACAATCAGTAACCCATTTCCACAAACGGGAAAAGAAAAAAAAGAGCCAAACAGAAAGCAGTACTTGTTTAGAAAGGGAGGGCAGGATAGAGGCAGTTGAAATAGCATTTGCAGATGCCATTTTCTGGGTTTTCTCCGATAGGATCCGTAGGAGGGTTTCTCACGCCGGCGAATGGATAAGAAAGAAAGGAAGCGTGCAATGTAAATAAATGCGAGGCTAAAAGGCGTTTGGTGAGTACAGTATCTGGATATGAATAGTTTAGGGCTAAATAAAGTGCGAGTGGGCTTCTAGAAGAATCGTGTAGTTCGAGAACAGTTGAGAGATTGTAAATTTTTGTGACCGGTTGGGAAGACCTCACGTACCTAATATTCTTCGAATTTCTAAGTTCCTACTTTTTCACGTTTGCAGAAGTGATTTTTTGATAATGCATGATGAAAAGTTGAGAAAATTTTTAAATTCAAGTGTAAAATTATTTTATTGAGAAAATTGTAATTAAAAATGAGATTGAACAAAAATGACTCTTTAATTTACGGATTTCAAACAGTGGCTTAGGATCGAGTCGAACTAGACTTGATCTTTGTCATAGTTATCATATTAGACTCGATCGTCGATCCAAATAAATCATTTAATCTTTGAATCACTGGTTTAACAAGTTGATCATTACTAGATCATAATTTAATTACCACAAACAGGAGAAGTTATCCTGGAAGCGAAAGAACTGCTGAAACTACGCCGAATACTCACAATTTTTTTTAAATAATATATATTTTATTTTATGTCATTTTGCTAAACGTGAGTATATATTTCTCTCACATTATTGCAAGAGGTTTTACAAATGTTATACAGGTCAAGGTTTTGATGTTTTATGTAGGAGTGCATGTTCAAATTTCTCCCTGTGCAAATATGATATAAGTTTTGTTTTATAGGATTCTGATGTTCTCTAAACACGTTCAGTTCAAAGGGTAATGTATTTATCTCAGCGATTTTTGATTGATTCTAATTGACCAATTAATATCACTCGGATCGACTATCAAGTTTGTTGATTCTTTGGTCGGTCCGATCAGATTTGGCTCGTCTGGTGGTATTTTTTTGTTGACAAATAATTTTTGTACTGTGAAAGTGGATATTATGTGATTATGTGCAGTCTTATTATTGAGCTATCATGTGGAACAATTGAAATTTTTTTTGAATGCAAATTTGTAAAATCTCAAAACTACCCCGCAGCTTGTCACAATGCCCAAACAAAGGCAATGTTGTAATTGCGAATTGGTTCTTATAAAACAACATTAATCATCTTGCTCAAATCCATTCTCAACTTAGCAAGAAACTTTCGTTTAGCATGTCCCAACCCAATACCCTCCAACTTAGCAAGGAGCGAAACTTTTGACTTTAAAGTTATAATTAATGACACAAATCCTGTAATATAATAAAAATAAATCGATATTTCCTTGGCTTTGGATTCACTCATCTCGACACGTCCTAAAATACTACCATGTACAAATTATAATTGTCCCAAAAAATTATTTTCCAGAATAATAAAATTTATTTGTTCCAATTATCATTTTCATATAGTCCAAGCACATAGAGTTGCCACTGGATCGCAACCAATTCCTCAGAAATCTCACTTGACTGAATCACTTCCTTTTTCCACTCTCTCGCCGTCGCCCTTCCTCGCCGGCAACTGTTCCATTTATCTCCATCTGCAATTTCTGGTAATTCTTCTGTTTCTCTTTGTACTTATATTCGAAGAAATTTTAACTGCTAGTCAAATTGTGAACTAACCTCTGGAGAGCAGGTTATAAAGGAAGATGCATCAAATCTGAAACCAGCAGCAACAATCATGGGTGACAACCAGCAAATCAAAGATTTTTGAAATTTTCATTTTAAACTTGTAACTGATAGGATTCTTAGCCTCATTCTCAGCATTACCTTTTAGAATCAGTACTTGGAAGGTCTATATATATTGTACACAAAATTCTAGGGATGACAAAAAAATCCGTTCAACCCGAAATCAATGGGGCCCGCCCCGAACGGGGCAGGAATTATCCGTCTAATCGGGTAAATGGGGCGGGAACGGGGCGAGGATCATTGTCCCGAATCGGGTATGGGGCGGGTACGGGAATCATAGTCCCCACCCCACTACTCGTTTCGTTTAAAGTTAATTTCAAATTTAAGTTTTTTCTCAAACAAAAATAATAGATTTATCATAATTTTAAAGAGAACATAAGTTGTTTATAATAAATTGGTAAAAAAGTAATAATATTTACTGAGTAAAAACATAAAATAAATAAAAGTAAAAAATAAAATAAATGGGGCAATTAATGGGGCAAATGACTTGCCCCGCCCCGTCCCGCTTTAAACGAGTATGGGGATGGGGTAATGTAACAAAAATATCTGATGGAACGGGGGTGGGAATGGCTAACCCGCCACATACCCGCCCCGTTGCCATCCCTACAAAATTCTGTATTGATGTGGTGTGGAAATACAATTGTTCTTTATTCTCAAACAAACATCCAGTGCATATTTACATCCTTATCATGGTATTAGAGCGGCAAAACTCCAACGGGACTTCGATCCCTACTCCAGAAATGTCTTTAGCGTCCACAAATAATCCACCACCCACCACAGATGCTCCTTTGATTGCCTTAAACATTACATCCTAGATTAATGAAAAACTCACTCCCTCCACATTCCCTCAATGGCGCCCCCAATTTGAAGCTCTCCTTATTGGATACAATTTGATTGATTATGTTACCAGCGATAACTTGTTCCCTCCCATCGGCAACTCCTCTGTTTCTGCCCTTCAGAAAACCCATTGGGTAAGGCAGGATAAATTAATTCTCAGTGTCATTCCTGCCTCAACTTCATCTACCATAACCCCATTCATCTCCGCTGCTACCACATCCCAACAAGCATGATAAAAATAAAACATGATGTATGCAAGCAAATCACAAAGTCGTGCAATGCAATTGAAGGATGAACTCACCTTAATCCGGAAGGACAATCGTTCGATTCAAGACTATATGCACACCATCAAGGCCTTGCCGATGAGATTGCACTCATCGATCATCCTATTTCTGAGGATAACCTTACTCTATATATCCTCCATGGTCTGGGACCAGACTTTAGGAAAATTGTTGTTCCTATTCGTGCTACGGAACGCCCGATTTCTTTTGAAGAACTTCATGATCTTCTTATGAGTCATGAGAGTTATCTACGTCGACTTGATTCCTCCACGCAACATCTTGTCGCCACAGCTAACTTCTCCAATAGACGGACTTTTCCCAACTCTTCAGGCAGCACCAATAATTTCAGGGGCTTCACCAAAGCCAATAAATCTGACCAGCCCAAAACTGATGGATACTCGACCAACAATCACTTTAATAGCAGTCCACTAGACAACATGAAATTTAATAAGCTCAATGGCCAGCATCGATATCAACCCAAGTGTCAACTTTGTGATCAACTGGGCCATATTGCTAAACATTGTCCTCACATAAACCCCCATAAGGCATCAGCAAATTGTGTTTCTACCACACCCGCTTCGGACACCAAGTGGCTCATTGACTCAGCTGCCTCTCACAATATCACTAGCGATCTTGCAAAATTATCAGTTCACTCCGAATATGATGGAATCGATGAAGTTATCAGTGATGGATCAGGTTTGCGTGTCTCATACATAGGTTCTTTGGTATTCCATTCACCCACTCGCACTTTTCATTTAAATGATACCCTTTGTGTTCCTAGTATACGTAAAAATCTTGTCTACGTTCATCATTTCACTACTCAAAATAAAGTTTTTATTGAATTTCATCCCAATTTTTTCTTGTGAAGGATCAGATCACGGGGGCGGTTCTTCCCAAAGGTGAATGCAAAAATGGTGTTTACACGCTTCCGACCTCACTGGTCTCCTCCTCTAAAATGGTTGCAAATGTCCAGGAATGGACGTCACTCGATGGGTAGCACATGCGTCTAGGACATCCGTCTCAAAAAATTGTTCAGCATCTTGTTAATTCTTTTTCTCTTCCAATAAAAAAAGAGCAAGTGTCTCATCTTTGTACTTCTTGTTCAATCAATAAAGCGCACAAACGTCTCCAAAGTTGTGCACCGCTTGATCTCATTTACACAGATGTTTGGGGACCCTCCAACACCGTTAGTCTTGATGGGTCTCGTTTTTATTTAATCCTGGTTGATCATTTTACTAAGTACATTTGGTTTTATCCTATGGCGGCAAGATCCAGTGTAAGTAGTATTTTTCCTCAATTCAAACATCTTGTTGAAACAAAATTTGCAACAAAAATAAAAAGCCTTTATTCCGACAATAGTGGCAATTTATTGCACTTAAACAATATCTCTCTATTCTTGGAATAAGCCACTATACTACTGCTTCTCATACACTACAACAAAATGGTGTTTTCGAGTGTCACCATCGTCATTTAGTGGAAACAGGTGTCACTCTTTTACATGATGCACCTCTTTCCTTGTCTTACTTGCCTCGTGCTTTTTCCACAACCGCTTATCTCATTAACCGGCAACCCACCTCCTTGTTACAAAATAAAACTCCATTTGAAGTCTTATTTAACCAAACACCAAATTATCTTAAATTAAGAAATTTTAGTTGTCTTTGCTTTCCATTTATTCAACCATATAACACAAACAAACTTCAACCTAAAGCTATTCCGTATCTGTTTGAAGGTTATTCTCAAACCCAAAATGCATATAAGTGTCTCGACTTAACCGCAGACAAAATCTACATATCTCTCCACGTTACATTTGATGAATCCAAAAACGCATTCTCGACTTCTCTTCCTGGACAACAACTCATTGCATCCCTTTCGTCTCAGATCGCAACACCACCCACGAGCATGCTGTCTCCACCGCAACCTTTACCAGTGAACTCGAATAGTGGCATCACTTCCGCGTCATCTTCAGGTATTTCCTCAGATCTCCCTTCGCTAATTCCTCACAGCACTTTGAGGGTTCTTCCTTACCTATGCACCATGAAATTCCACTATCCCTACCACACATGGATGTCTATGTTCCTCCAACTTCTCAAAATCCTGTGTTCTCTACTCCGAATGTCACTCAGCCATTACAAACTCATCCCATGGTCACTCGTT